TAAGTTTCTCTAGATTGGCAACAAATCCAGTAGTCTCCTGTTTCAAATGTAAACATCAATGGCCGCCATTAAAAACAGACTTAGCGGCAATTAAACAACTTTAAAATTGCTGATAATTCTAAAAATATTGCACACAGATTTACTAAAGGCATAAAATCCTTAACCGGAAGATAAAAACAACATAATTCAATCATTTTTAAAGCAAAAAATGTACAATTTACGAACATATAAGAGTAAAGAAACTGAGATCACTGAGCCGGGTAACAGAGTGGATATATATATATATATATAAATATATTTATATACGTTTGGTGCCGCCGATTGCAACGAAAATACGAGGTGCACATCTACATGTTATAGCAGTCCTATATGCAAAATTTCAACGTTCTGAGGCTACTCGTTTTTGAGTTATGCGATATTCTGTCCTTACGTACAGATATCACACAAAAACATCGTTAAATTGCATTCGATAGCGGTCAAAATGGATATTTTCGTTGAAATATGCTGCCTGAAACTTTTCGCGATTACAATACTTCCTTTTTACTTCGTACAAGGAAGTAAAAATACAGATAAATTTTAAGGGATTTTATTAGATCAACAGCAATCTTTTTTAAATCTTATCGCAACATTTCAAGAGATCAATCCCAGAGGGCGTAAAACGATTCTCCCTTCTCCTGCCACAAGTAATGTATGAAATTGAATCGCAGAAGCAAGATGGCCACCACATTGTTCTTCTTTCATACACAACAGCAGAACAACGTTCAACAAGAGAAATTCAGGAGCACAGTAATCGAATGCAGAATTCTATGCATTATGTTTCCGAAGTAAAACAAACGATGCTGTTACAAAGAAACAGGTTGTACGGAAACAATAAAATGGCCGAGATCAAAAAGAAGCGGGGGGGGGATTCCATAGATGTGGTAGAGGTGTGTGACGCGTGTTGTGTAAACAGCGGGCGCTGATGCAAGCAGCATAACGAAAATTGTGCCATAGCGCGTTCCGATCCTCCGACTAGAACTGACGGACATCGATTCACGCTCGACTGGCACTAGGTCAGAGTGCGGCACAAAGATTCACTTTCCAGACGAACCAACTATCACACGATAAAGCCCCACATTTGCGACTCTATAAAACGCTAATCATTTGATTGAAATAATTTAACTAGCGAATTCAAGGTAAAGAATAATCAGTAAAGAAAAAACAACCACCATCGATTTATCTTGGCCTTTTATAAGCATAATTACGTACCTTGAATTAAACCACAGTAAAAATTACCCATTAAAATTTAATGAGTAATTTTTATTCTGATTAAATGAGGACAGCAATCGGATTTATTTGATTACGGCAAAGTAAAAGAAGGCTATCTGCCTAAGGGAAAGGATGCCTTCGTGGAGGACTTTCTAAGAAGAACTGGCTCGTATACACGTCAGACGCGGGAAAAACCATGAAAATGCCCATGCAGCTAGCCCGTTCAGCAGGATTCGAACCTTCTACTGAACTACCAGTGTTCAGCAACTTTACCGCTCGGCCGATGGTGACCGAGAACAGTACTAAAGTACAGTTAATTATTATGAAATTAAAACAACATGAATTTAAACTAGCAGACTGGGTTAGTTAGGGTTTCTTAATTCCTACAATTATAAGGTATTTCTCCCACTTCCCTAGCGTGCCTTCGTGGTGTAGTGGTTCTGTACACTGAGCCGGTAATTCAGAGGTCCGTGGTTCGATTCCCGGCGAAGGCGGTTGCATATTTTCATCTTTTCTGCTTCCAATTAACCTAATGACTCTACAGTGGCGCCCGAACTAAAAGGGTTGTGGATGATGATTCTCCACACCCAGGATTTGGCGACTAGGTCCCCTAAAACCCTAGTCGCCCTTTAAAAAGGAGAGTATATGAGGTATTTCTCCCACTTTCCTAGCGTCCTTTGTGGTGTAGTGGTTCTGCACGCTGGGCCGGTATTCCAGAGGTCCGTGGTTCGATTTCCGGCGAAGGCGTTTGCTATTTTTCATTCTGCCTGCTTCCAAAAAATACCTAATGTCTCTAAACAATGAAAAGGATTTAACTAGTAACTTTGACTATTAACGGAACATATATACCCCACTAAAAGTTTTACGTGTGTGTGTGTGTGAGATTATGGCAAAGCCTCGAGGGCTATCTGCCTAAGGGGAGGGATGCCTTTGTGGAGGACTTTCTAAGGGAAACTGGCTCGTATACACGTTACACATGGGGAAAACCACGAAAACGTCCATGCAGCCATCCCGTTCGCGGGATTCGAACCTCGGACCAAACTACCAGTGTTCAGCGACTTTACCGCTCGGCCGCTGGTGGGCACTAAATGTTTTAAAAATTACTTCTCGGTTAAAAAGCACTTAGAATTTCCTGAACGGTCGAGATAGTCTTCCAATAGTTGGAAAATCAAGACGCCTCTCTGCTCGTTGTACACAAATATTTTATCCTGTATCATAGGACGTAAAATCTATTTCATATAGTTTCATAGTTTTCCAGAATAATAGGTGCGCTTATAGTAAGTCGATCGCTATGCGTGGGATATTTGTATCCCACCATTAACTATGGCCAGGATATAATGTGTCCCGGCTTTTGGGTTGAAAACCGTTTGTCAAAAAATCCTTGTTATATTTCTTTTTAAAAATCTACTTTAAACCCCTGCTTTGATTTCCAATTGTCGAGTTGTATTTTGTAACAATATTTGTCGTTTAGCTATTAAACTGGATGGACAAAAATATGGAAACACCTTGTGAAATGCATGTTTACAAAAATATGGAAACACCTTGTGAAATGCATGTTTGAAAAGAAAGTTTGATTTTAATGAAATATGTAGGTGGCGCTGGCGTTTTCGACTACTGACGCCACCTATACAACTTCGTAAATGTGCTAAACAGTTCAGTTGTTGTCGGAGTACTGTTATGTGAGGTTGTCATTGCATTATGTCAGAGTTAACAGACTTCGAACGTGGGCAAATTGTTGGAGCACGTATAGTAGATGCTTCCGTAAGCAAGGTAGCCGAGGTGTTTAGTGTTTCGAGAGGTACTGTATCGAAGATTTATTCTGCATATTTGAAAAGCGGAAAACATCATCTGCTAAATCACGGCGCGGACGAAAGTGTGTCCTGAGTGATCGTGACAGACGATCATTAAGGGCAATTGTGACGAAAAATAAGAGGACCACAGCTGCAAAAGTTACTGCTGGAATGAATGTTGTGTTACCGAACCCTGTGAGTACCAAAACAATTAGAAGGGAGCTTCATAAACAGGGAATTGCTGGCCGTGCTGCAATCGAGAAGCCACTCATCAGTGATGCTAATGCCCGTAACAGGAAAAGGTGATGTTTAAGTCATAAAGCCTGGACTATAGAGCAGTGGAAGCGAGTAATATGGTCTGAAGAGTCTTCTTTCACATTGTTTGCCACTTCTGGCCGACTTTACGTCTGGAGAACGCCATCTCAAGCCTATAATACAGACTGCTTGTTACCAAGAGTGAAACATGGCGGGGATTCTGTTATGGTTTGGGCAGCCATATCGTGGTTCTCTGCTAGCCCCATGATAACTGTGTCAGGGCACATGACTGCCAAGACTTATGTGAACATTTTGGCCGATCAAGTTCATCCCATATTACAAACTTTGTTCCCCGATGGTGATGGTGTTTTCCAAGACGACAAAGCCCCTGTTCACACAGCTCACATTGTCCAGGACTGGTTTCCTGAGCACGAGGATGAGTTGTCCCATCTCCCCTGGCCACCACAGTCACCAGACCTGAATATTATCGAACCTTTGTGGTCTACATTGGAACGGAAAGTGCGTTCTCGTTATCCACCGTCAACATCGTTATCTGAACTTGCCACCGTTTTGCAGGAAGAATGGTATAATATTCCCTTGGCAAACATACAGGAACTGTATTTATCCATTCCGAGAAGACTACAAGCTGTTTTGGATGCCAACGGGTTTCCTACACCATATTAAGCAAAGAAACATGTTTTTTTAAGGTGTTTTTTTAAGGTGTTTCCATATTTTTGTCCAACCCCTGTAGCTATTAAGTCATTAACCTAAGTATTAACTTGCTTGTTTAATTATTAATGGCGCCATGCTCTAACTTGCTTCTGAATCCACATTTGATGGCCGCTAGTCTTGAAGATTGGTTTGTTTTGGTTTGGTTTATATGATTACGGCAAAGGCTGCCTAAGGTGTGGTGTATTGTTGTATTGTGAATATGGCAAAGCACACTAGGGCTATCTGCCTAAAGGGGAGGGATGCCTTCGTGGAGGACTTTCTAAGGAATGGCTCGTATACACGTTACACATGGGGAAATCCACGAAAACGCCCATGCAGCCAGCCCGTTCGCGGGATTCGAACCTCGGTCTTGAAGGGTTTTTTTAATTATTATTTTGTTTTCAGTGAATGTAAGTGAATAAAAGCAATTTAATGTAGACAAATATTCCGGTGGCACCTGCGAAGTGCCACTTGAATACCTGTCGCTACCACCTAGTAGCACGCGTGGTATAGGTTTGCCATCCCAGTACAGGGTACAGGCTCAACAGTACTGCGCCGCAGGAAGCAGGCTTTCACGATACCTTACCAGCATTTACAAGCAGAAAGCATGGTGTTGGTGTATTTCATTATGGCAAAACATATTAGGGCTATCTGCCTAAGGGGAGGGATGACTTCGAGGAGGACTTTCTAAGGGAAACTGGCTCGTATACACGTTACACATGGGGAAAACCACGTAAACAGCAGAAAGCATGACTTGACATTATTCGCCGAGAAATACATAGCTGGAAAGAGCGTTATTTAAATTCTTGGCAATCTACACTGCCAAATTCTCTTCTGAAGGAAAAACATTTGGTTTTTAAAGATGCTTAATAAGAACAGTAACATTAACCTGATAATCTTTCGACATAATATCAGTTATAACATATACACTCACGAATAAAGAATGTATTTCGAAAAAGTCAATAAAGAGAGAGAGTAGAATGAAAATTTACTTACAGCTGCTGCTTTATTGGCCGTTCGGCAGATGTCGCTGTAGTCGGGATGATCGGAGGCGGTCTGCTCGGCCAAGAGAGTGAGATATCGTTCATACTGGACCAATCTCTCTAACTGAAAAAAAGAAAGAAAGAAAAAATTGAAATACTGCTTGGGATTAAGCCAATTACGATTATATAAAACAGGTGCATAAATTACTCCAAAAAATTAACCTCGAAACCAAACTCATACTGGTTTCATCAAATTCATCTCGAAACTTGCGAAGTATGATTTGTTTTGCAGAAAAAGTACGATTTCCTTCAATCGAAAAAATGGCAAATTTTAATAAATTAAAAAAAAATAATAATAAAATTTATTATTATTATTTTTTTTATGGATCATAACCTTTTCCCGTTTTTACTTTCTTGTACGAAGGAAAGGAAGTATTATATATACATAAGTGAATCAGGAAAAATTTCGGGTATCATGTTTAAAAAAAAATACCCATTTTGACCACTATCGAATGCAATGGAACGATGTTTTGGCGTCACATCTGTACGTAAGCACAAAATAAAAGATTCTTTCCCCCCAAACGAATTATAAAACTGATTTAGAATGGATTCAGATGAGATTTTTTTTCGTGACATCTGTACGTATATGTATGTCGCATAACTCAAAAACGAGTAGCCTCAGAACGTTGAAATTTGTATACGACCTGCTTTATAAATATATATGTTACTCGGCAAGGTTTTTTTCACCCCCCCTTATATGTTGGTAAATTTTCTTCTCTTTCCTTTAAAAATGATTGAATTATGTTATTCTTATCTACGGGTTTAGGTTTTTATGCCTTTAGTTAATATGCATGCAATAGTTGTAGAATTATCAACAATTTAAAAGTTGCTGAAGTGCGGCTAGGCGTAATTTCTTTACTATAGCAGCCATATTTGTTTAAATCTGAAACTCAGCAGAATAGTGAATTAAGTCTTTCTGCACTTTCAGTGTCTTTTGGCCTACTGGGACCAAAAGGAAGCTTATATGTAGTTTTGTGCACCAAAAATACTGCCTTCTTGCCCGCTGGCCGAATTGCTTGCTTTTGGGTAGAAACTTAATTTTAATTGTAAAAAACTTTTTTTTATTGTTTTAACTGTTTTTGGTGTTTTATTAGTCCAAAGGGATTTGAATCCCGAAGGACTATTAGTTTCGTTTTGGCATTTTGCGTCGGACGGATAAATGTCGGTTCACTTTTCAAACTGTTGCCACAAAATGTTAGAGTCCTGCATTATATTTGAAGAAATTAAATAATGAAAATCTGCGTAAATGTATGTATATTTCTCACATTGTCATAAAATAACGGTACATAGAGTCATCGAATTTTGAATAACGTAATCCTCCAACGAATATGAGCATGTGGAAGACCAAATTTGAAATTTGTTTTTATGATCGATTTCCTATTTTTTAAAACTTTGACGAATTTTTGATTAACAAACTCAAGGATTTCAAAGCGAGCAATGGCAACGTTGTGCAGAAAAAACATTTTTATCTCCAGCGCGTGAGTCTCTGTATCGGAAATTCTAAAGATATGCTCGTTTTAAAACTATTTTGCGATATTGCTGTTGCACTGGATCTTATGGTTTAAGTACGAGGAACATGATATTTAATAAAGAAAGGTAACACACAAAATGTTAAAAAACGCCCCTTTGGACGTAATTTAAAATCTGAAACATTTCAGATTTTTTTTTTTTTAATTTTTCTGTATATTTAAATTTTTAATGAAAATATTTTGAGGTTTCATGTATTTGTCCCAAAGAGAGAACTGAATTAATTGAATGAGAAATATATCTTTAATGCTATAAGTTTAAATGAAACTTAGAAAAGATATGCATAATTTAATATTCCGTTCAAAGAAGTCATACGATGTACGTAAGATTTTTTTTTTTTTTTTTTTTTAAGTGTTGGTTCTATCACCCATATCATGCTGATTTCAAATCGCATGGAATTTTATGCGAATCTAACTATTTTATCGCATGATATTGTTTAGACTTCCCTTTGAGAACAATCGATATATCATGTAGTTTAAAAAGGGCTTGTGAAATCAGCAAGTAGATTTATTCGAGACCATTGGACATCATAGGCGAGGGATATGCCTTCTACATGAAATAATTTATTTATTTATTTATCTGTCAAGCTAAAAAATCTGTCCGACGGTTAATAGAGCATGACGGACGACTCTCGCCATAAAAGTCACTGACTGGTCAAGCAAGACGCTCTGAGAATTCTCGCGTAAATATCCGCTCAGTGCAAACAGAAGAGTGGATACAGAGGAAAGTGGCCATGAATGATTCATGGGGTTGCAAAGAACAAACGACGAATCGAACGAAACTGAAGACTTAGTACCGCTGACGTAAAATGATATCACACTTATTTAAACTTTTACTCGTTTAAAAAGACCTTCGTGACCAGTTCGTTGTTAGATAAAGGAAGTATGAAACAATTGTTTTTTATTCAAAGTGAAAGTGGATACCAAGATTCTTTCCAATTAAAATTGCCCTCAGAAGAAACAACCGAGTTAATAACTTCGATAATGATATAACTCAATCAATTTAGAAAAGATTACAGTTGAATAATCTGGCAGTATTTTATTTGGGTAAAAGTGGAACATGTCACCAGAATGAAGAAGAACTGGTAATTGTAAAATTTGACATCCACTTTCTTCAAGTATTGCGTTTGGAATGGCGGCGGAGAAATTAAACCTCTATGTACACAAGCGTAGTTATATTAATTTTTTAAAATTATATTACGTTTTTATATTCAATGAGTATAATTGTTCTATTATTATTCCAAAAGGGCTATTAATTTCGTTTTGGCATTTTGCGTTGATTCACTATAAATGGCGAATCGCTTTATAAATTGTTGCCACCAAATATTACAGCCCTGTGTTATATTTAAAAAAATTAAATGAGGAAGAATCTGCATAAATATGTGTATGTTTCTCGCGTTGAGATAAAAGAACGGTACGTAGAACCATCCAATTTTGAATAGCGTAATCCTCCTCCGAATATGGACATCTGGAAGCTAAAATTTGAAATTTGCTTTATTATCTGTGTCATATTTTGTAAAGCACTTTTGAGTTTTTAATCAAGAAACTCAACGATTTCAAAGCGAGAAATGGCAATCATATTTTGTAAAGCACCTTTTGAGTTTTTAATCAAGAAACTGAACGATTTCAAAGCGAGAAATGGCAACCATATTTTGTAAAGCACCTTTTGAGTTTTTAATCAAGAAACTCAACGATTTCAAAGCGAGAGAAGAAGAAATGGCAACATTGTAAAGCAAAAAAAAAAAAAAAAAAAAAAAAAAAAAAAAAAAAAAAAAATTCTCTCCAGCGCGCGGGATTGTGTATCGGAAATTCTAAAGTATGCTCTTTTTGAATTATTTTGCGATGTTGCTGTTTAATAATAAATAAAAGTAACACAGAAAATGCTAAAAAAACGCCCCTTTAAAAACGTAATATAAAACTTGAAAGCTTTCAGATTTTTTAAAAATTATTATTATTTTTCTAATCGTTATTATTTTTTTCTTCTTTTTCTAATGGCGGGCACTAGCCGTTTTACAGGCGGTGCCACTACTAAAGCCGGAAATGGTGGTCACTTTATTATCGAGACATCTAATACATAGGAGGCCACGGTTGAAGTATGTGTGTGTGTGTATTATGGCGGCAAAGCCTCGAGGGCTATCTGCCTCAAGGTATGAATGCCTTTGTGGAGGACTTTCTAAGGGAAACTGGCTCGTATACACGTTACACATGGGGAAAATCACGAAAACGCTCATGCAGCCAGCCCGTTCGCGGTATTCGAACCTCGGACCGAACTACCAATGTTCAGCGACACCGCTCGGCCGCTGGTGGGCGCAGCCACGGTTGAAGAGGCAAACAATTTATATCCACACCCTCTTAGGGATTCGAAACCGAGCCCTGCGGTATGATAGTCAGATTCCCTAACCACTTTCCCGTTTGGAAGGCTTGTTCAAATATTATGCCAATACATTTTTATATGCAATTTAAGAAAACTTCATAATCACGGTACATTATTTCACAGAATGTATACAGGATATGCTTTACAATATCTTATCGACGCAATATTATTAAAATAACGGAAAACGAATGTGAATTTACATCGTAAAACATGTGTTGCGATTCATGATTAGTTTTATGCTCAGCGTAAACAAAATGCATCTTATTCATTAAAACAGAAGTGTTTGTCATAAACCAGGAAAGTCACAATCGTGTTTGGCGCAGATTTAGTCAAGAACTCAATCGATTTCGAGGGCAAACAGCTTCAGGTCCCTCTTCCTCAGGAGCAAAGAAACCTTCAAGACTTGCTTACAAAGTAAAAATTTTACATAAATTGAATTTTCAATCTAAATGGCCTTACATAGCAAATATTTTTATGAACAGAGACACAGGATCAGTTTTACAGACTTCTTTGCTCCTGGTGAAGAGGGACCTAGACCTTTTGCCCTCGAAATCGATTGAGTTCTCGATTAAATCCACGCTAAACACAAGGATGTTGCTTTCCCTATTTTATATCTTATCCATTATTAAATATCGTTCCATTGATCGTTCCATTGATCTTATCCATTATTAAATATCGTTCCATTGATCAAATAACATAATTTTAAATAAAAAAAGGCCAAATGTAAAACCAAACGTAAATTAAATCACTAAACCTTAATTAAACGTTTAAACTTCAGTTTAAACTTTTCCATATTGCATTCAGCTTCTGAAGTTTTCTAAACTTCACTAATGCCGAAATATAAGCAGACGATTATAACAAAATATCTGAGGATTACTTTTCAGAGGGAAACAGACTGCTAAGTCACGGAAAAAGATATTGACAAAAACCACAAAAGATGAATAGGTGGAAAAAAAAAAAATCTGAAAGTTTTCATATTGTATATTACGTTCAAAGGGGCTTCTCTTCAACATTTTCTGTGTAAGCTTTATTTATTAAATATCATGTTCTTCACACTTAAACCATAAAATTCACTTTAACGGTAATACAGCAAAATAATTTTTAAATGAGGATATCTTCAGAATTTCCGATACACACAGACTCACGCGCTCGAGAATTTTTTTT